CAAACCCAACGCCTTTGGCTAGGAGACTGACGTCCTGTCTGCTGTTCTAAGGAGGCTCTGAGAGTACTGTTTCCAGAAAGTCTCCTGAATCCAGTCCTGTCGAGCTTCCATCTACATGATTGCTGTTGAAATCACATTTCTGTTTCCTGTGCGGTTCCATGCTATAAAACCAGTCTGGTCTGTGTTAGCCGTTATTCTAAATATTTTGCAGTGGCCATTGGAGCTTACCGTTGATTGAAGAAATACACAGCAGGGTGAGTTTTCCACAACGCCTTCAGACCTGTGCCTCCACCACTTACAGCTGGGCGACACTGAGCACGTTCCGTAACATCCGTGAGCCTCGTTTCCTGTAGCAACATGGAAACACTAGTTAGTGGGGCAGTTTAGAGCACCTTCTGTGTTAAGACAAGGAAAGTTGTCAGGACAGCGCCTGGCATGTGGAGAGCTGTCAGTCAGTTCTAGCTGCTGTTCCTTTTGTCCTTCCCACATCTCCCCGAAGCGTGTTGCGGACAGATGGTGTCGAGACTACTTCTGACTCACTGGAGGGACTTGGCGCGATCACGTCAGCTCCTCAGGGACTCCAGAACTGAGTCGGGGGCGGGGGCACAGGGGACGGCGTATGTTTCTTAGCATAGTGAGTATTCAGCTCTCCTTATGGGTGATGATGAAGTCCGAGTGGAAACTTCTCTAGGAAATTAGACCAAATGACCCGTTCATACGTCTTGTACGGTGGTCGGAAAAGTAAGTGGTCACTGGATAAGGATAGAACACGAGTCTGTGAATTTGCATAATCATGTCAAAGAGTGAAATGTAAAGGCCAAAGAACCTCATCACACGGCTTCTTTTCTTGCTGTTAGTTCTATTGAATCCACTTCTCCTGCATCAGATGGTCACAGGTGAATCCGGGAACGCTATGAAACTGTTACTAGGTCAAATTGTCATCGGTAAGACTTTATTTCTCATGGAGTTTTCACATGGCCAGTTTTATCGTGCGGATTTTTCTCTTCCATTAATACTCATTATTGATTGAACAAAAGGCCGATGTATTAATATGTTCTGAGCTCCAGCATGAGGAGATGGTAAACAGTGTTTTTGGAGAGTCTGAGGAAAGGGGCGGTGGGGAGGGAAAGGGAGAGGGCGAGGTGAAGGTATACTGGGGGCAGGAAGAGAGAAGTCGTGGCAAACAGGAGGGAAGGATGAGGGGCGCAAGCAGAAAGCAGAAGTAAAGAGACACAGGAATAGAAGCTCACATGTCAGGAGGCTTACTATAGGCCTGGCATTGTTTTTAGCTCTTTCCCTACAGATAGACTTTTTTTTAAAGTCATTGACTAGTCACTGCAACACTGGGAGGTAAGTATTTTTAAGGTTGACATGCCCTGTTTACAGACCAGGAAACTGAGACACGTGGAGGTTAAGAGGGGAAGTAACTTACCCAAAGCCACCTAGCCAGCAAGGGCAGAGTCAGGGTGGTACCCAGGTCAGAGAGAAGCATAAAGAGACGTGGGATTTGGCCCTAAACTGCAGTGCACCTCCGTGTCCAGTGTCCTCTGGCTCAAAAGACAGGTGAACGTGTGCAGCAGCTTAATCTGATTACACTGGATCTGGGTATGGATTGAACATGATGTCTCTTCAGTGCATGAGACACTGTGGGGTGACAAGTCACTCTAGGCACATCACTAAGTGGGTGTCTGGTTCATATCAAGGTCCGTACATGTGGACGTCAGCATTGGTATCCTCATCGTCATTATCATGATGGACAGTAGTTTATGGTATAATGTGAGGAAACAAAACAGCAGATGAAAGAGTGTAGATGACCTCCCCACTCCAATCTCATGATTTAAAAAATGCATAGCATGAAGCCTGGAAGAGAGTACACCACATTAAGTCATTTACCCTAAGTGTGAGATGCTAGATAATTTGCAAATAACATTTTGTTCACTGTTTGATTTGCTGTATCCTCATTCTTGTTGCACAGCCAGTGTCTGGTACGAGTTTCCAGTCGTTTTTATGAAGACTGCGGCTTTGATACCCTTGCCAGGTGAACACCCAGTCCGGGCATTTAACGCAGAGAGGAGCGATGTGGTACAGTAGAGAGGAGCAGCGGGGGAAGCAGAGAGCTTTGGATGGAAGGTTAGCTAAGTCTGCAAGTGCTATGAAATCGCCCCAGAGGATGCAGGCCGAAACCAAACCAGACCAGACAGCAGCTTGCATGTCCCTAAGAGGAGACGGTTGTGCCGTTGACATGAGGATCTGCACTGAGGTTTCTTAGGCTTTCATTCTCTTTTGGCCCCTGCGGTGCAGCGGGGCAGCGTGTGGTTCTTATGAGGCAGCACTGCTTTGCGCCCTGCGGTGCATGAGAGTGGCAGCCTCACCTGAAGCATTCTCCTCCTGTGGGCCAGCTGGAGTACTTTTCTTGACGTCTGGAAGCTTACAGATTCAGACGAGAAAGCAGAAAGAAAATACACCGCCCCATAGTTAGATCCAGCTCTCCTCCAGTAGACACCTACATCGCCAGTGAGCCGCATGCACAGGTGTTGTAGACACTGGTTGGGAATTAGCAGGTTGGGTTGGGAGACTCCAAGGAGAACCATGGAAGTGAATAAAAGGTGAGAAAACACGTCAAGAGGGGACGAACAGCAGAAAACTGGTGTTCTGGCCTTGCTTTTCTGCTAAGAGAGTAGCGTGCTCCATTATTGTGGGGAGAGGGCGCCCTGGCCCGAGGTCTGGGAGGGAATCACTGCACGTGGTGATGAGCATTCTGAGGACCCACCATCGGCGGTAACAAGGGGACACCGAGTGTGTGCAGGCACAAAGGTCTCAGCCTTGACCTTAGACTCGGAAAGCTTCTTAGCCCCGCTGACAGTCATGCTGCTTCACCTTACAGAAGCTCAGAGCCACCATCTAGCAAAACTGCTGGTGCTCCTCCACCTCCTAATCCCCTCAGGGTGTCTGCCCAGGCACTGCTCACTGATCTGCATGGGTATGATGGTGATCGTGTGTGTGTGTGTGTGTGTGTGTGTGTGTGTGTGTGTGTGTGTGTAACAAACACAGGGAGAGAGACTCCATTCATTTAACTGTGATTCACCAAGTCCCCAGCCACTATCTAGACACTGTGTTGGGTGCTGGGGGATAGAATGAATAAAGACACTTCCCTGTTTTCGTGGCGTTTGTGCCAAATCACAAGAGAATAGTTCATCTAACCATCATACACAGAAACTTAAAAATTGCGCCTGTGATTAGTGGTGCCAAAGAGGTGCATTTTATGGAGGTATGATTGATAGGTAGAGCTGCATGTATTTTGTGTGTACAACTTGATGAGTGTGTATGCAGATGTCTCCATCACTGCCATCAAGGACGAAGATGTAGCCGTCACCTCCCACAGTTTCCTCCCACCCCCTTTGTTCTTGTGGGTGTGGTTATTACTATATTACCATCATTAGTGGTAAGAACACTTAACATAAGATCATCTCTTAGCGATTTTAAGTCTACAACACGGTATCATCAGCTAAAGGCACTGCGCTGTAGAGTAGATCTCCAGAACCTATTTTTCTGGCATAATTAGAACTTTGGACCTTTGACCATCACGTCCCCACTTACCCCTGCCCCGACCCCTGGCAACCATTGTTCTACGCTCTGCTTCTAAGAGTCTATTTTAGATTGCGTGTATAAGTGAGATCACGCAGTGTTTGTCTTTCTGTGTCTGGTTTATTTTAGTTAGCCATCATGCCCACCGGGTTCGGACGACATGCTCTTATCCGTAGAAAACCCTGAAGACTCTGACAAAGACCAGACCAAACCAAAACAACCGTTAGAACTAAGGAACAAATTCAGTAGTATTGCTTTCATTTGTAAAAAGAGTTTACTGGATATGAGATTCTTGGTTGTTGAGCATTTTGAATGATTATCCCACTCCCTTCTGGCCTCCATTGTTTCTGCTGAGAAGTCTGCTGTTAATCTGATTGGATTGCCCCCGTAAGTGAGGGGTCATTTTCTCTTGTTGTTTTCAAGAGTTTCTCCTTGCCTTTGGCTTTCAGCATTTTTCCTATGATATGTCTGAATCTCTTCTCGTTTCTCCTGTCTGGAGATCCTTTAGTTTCTTTCAGGCAGTTTCCTTTTGAATATTTTTTCTGCTCCTTTCTGTCTGTGTTGTGGCATTCTCGTGCTCTCTCTGGGCGTTCCTAAGAGTGTCCCACATTCCTGTGCAGCTCAGTTTATTTTCCTCATTTGTTTTCCTCTCTTTCTTCAGATTCAGTAACCTCTATACGTCTGTCTTCAAGATGGCTAAATCTTTCTCTGGTAGTTCAACAACTGCCGATCCCCTTGAGTGAATTTTTGACTTCAGTTACTGCACTTTTCAACTCCAGAACTTCTGTTTGGTTCTTTTTGATAATTGTTCTCCTCTATTTGATGGGACATTTTCATCATACCTTCCTTTACTTCTTTGATTGTGGTTTCCTTTTGTTCTCTGGACCTATTTATAACAGCAACTTTGAATTCCTTGTCAAATCTGACATCTGGTTGCAACCACAGGCAGTTTCTGTTGCTCGCTTATTCATACTTTCCTGTTTCTTTGCATGTATCCTAAGTGTTTTTTCTTGTCTGGAAACTGACAAATCTAAAATAGTCCGGTTGCTACACTATCTAAAATATTATAGCAATTCTGGGTACTGGACTGTCACACCCCTTCCTGGGTTTGTTATTGCTGTTAGCTTGTTTAGTTGTTTAGTGTCTGGCTGGTTTATTTAGAGTCTGTTTTCCCTCCTTACTCTCCCCCTAGCCTCGCCCCCCATCCTAGCTGTGTTATGCTTCAGGTTTGACTCCTCAGGGAGAGCCGACATGGGTATGCCCACTGTCACCTTGGGATGACTGGTTTGGGCGGGGCTGTCTTTGATTGTCTCTTTCCCTGACCAAACCCAGCTGTCCAGGTCCACTAACTGGGGGCTGCTTCTACTGTTTTCAACAGTGCCCTGGCTGTCTTGCTTCATAATATGAACCTGTGAAATCCCCGCTCCTTTGAAGGGCCAGCTGTCAAGCTTAGTGTCTGAGATTTTGTTCTGACCCTAGGCAGGCTCCTTCCAGCTGTCTCTTCTCCCTGATTGTGTCAGGTAATCCAGCCAGCCTACAGTTGATCCTCTATGTCCAGGAATTCCACCAGTCTCCTCCGGGTTGCCTTTTACCACAGCCTCCACTGTTTTGAATGTGCACCTAGGCCTAACCTTCGAAACACTCCATTGCAAATGGAATTCATTCCTCTGAGAGGAGCTCTCTGCTTCAAAACCTCTGAGCCACAATTCTGTAGTTGGGGAGTGGGGACGATGGTGGCACACTTCCCTTTCCTGTTTTTTAGTAGTATACTATGCAGTGTTGCTTTTTACAATGTCCGTTTTTGATTGTTTATGGCTGGTATATACAAACAATTGACTTTTGCATACTGATTTTGTATCTTGTTACTTTGCTAAACTGGCCTCTTAATTCAAGTAACTTTTCTGTGGATTCTTTTTATGGAGTCAGGTTTTGCCTGTGAATAATGACTGTGTTACTTCTTTCTTTCTTCTTGACTTTTTTATTGGCTAGAACAGCCAGTAAACTATCGACTAGAAGTGGCAAAAGTACACATACTTGCCGTGTTCGCTGTCTTAGAAGGGAAGCATTCAGACCTTGACGATTCACGATTACATTAGCTTTCGATCTTTTTGTAGGTGCCAATTATCCGTTTAAGGATGTTGCCATAGACCGAATGAATATTGCCATCTCCCCAGCATTCATGGTGAAGCCTTTCTCCAGTATGATGGTAATTGGAGGTGGGCCTTTGGGAGATGATCAGGTCATGAGCATGGAGCCCACACGAACGGCATTAGCACCCTTATAAAAGAGACCCCTGAGAGCTCCCTCAGCCCCCCTGCCATGTGAGGAGAAGAAGTCAGCAGTCTGTGTGGCAGGACGCAGGGCCTCGCCTGATGCCGAATCTGCTGGCACCTTGATCTTGGGCTTCCCGGCATCCGAAAGTGTAAGAAATACATTTCTCTGGTTTCTGTAACTCATCCAGTCTATGGTAGCTTTGTTACATCCACCCTAAGAGACTAAGATGGAAACCCCTCTCTATTCCTGATTTGCTAGGAGTTTTTCTCAGGTACATTTTACCAAATGCTTTTTATGCATCTGTCGAGATGCTCATATATTTTTAGTCTGTTATTATGGTCGGTTAGAGTGATTGATTATCAAACACTCAACCCGTCTTGAAGCCGTAGAGCAAATGCCATTTCACTATGGTATTTTATCTTTTGTATATATCGTTGGTTTCAGACAGCTAATTTATTTTGGATTACTGCATCTGTGCTCATGAGTTACATTGCTCTTGTTAGCCTTCAAAGTAAAACAGCCAGTTATTTTACCAGCAAAAAAAAATGCGTCTGTTCAGGAATAGTGGAGAATTAGAAATTGGAACAAGCAACCTAAGGCAAAATCCTAGGCAAGTCCAACAAACAAAGGAGAGGAATGTTATTTTATGGAGAAGGAGGAAGTCGGAAGGGGTT